TGACCTGGGCCAGACTCAGAAGGACAAATACCCCACCATTGTATCATGAGACGTCCCCAGAATTTCCAAAATTTAAGACTGATGGGTTGGAGAGGAGGCTCAGGGGTTGCCATGGAAACGTGAAGCCCCAAATTCTGAGAGCCAACAAAGCTGGGCACGGCAGCTCGAGCAGCCCCAGCGCTCCTACGACAGGTTGGAAAACAGTCAGGAGAGTTCCCAGGGGCTTGTGTGCTAACAGTAGCAAATAAGAGATCCTGTCTCTTGTGGGTGACTCTGCTCAGTGGGTAAAGGTGCTTGATGTGCAAGCCTGGACATCTGAGTTCAGTCCTGGGAATGCATGTAGGAGTGGAAGGAGATAATGGACCCCAAAAAGTTATCCATCCTCTGGCCTCCACACACATACCATGGCATGCATGCCCCCAGTATATACTCATACACAATTAAAAAAAAAAAAAAAAAACAAGAGAATTGAGACCCTGTCTCAAGATGGAAGGTGAGACATCCCTGGAGGCTGTCCTCACCGTGGGACCATGTTCACATACATGAACAGGTCTTCACACACAGCATACAGAGAGGCAAAGTGGGAGCAGGAGGGAGAGGAAGAGGGAGAGAGAACACGAAACACAGGACTGCCAGAAACTGGTGGGGGTGGCCACACAGAGGGCAAGTGCATTTAAGTGCCTGAACGAAGTAAGGAGACAAGGTTTATGTTGTGGATGCTTTACCATGATTAAAAGTGATAATTAGATGATAGAGCCTTCAGAGACACATGATGGCAATGCCCTATTGGATGATACAATGACATCACAGAGGTCTTGCTGGATAATGATGACATCACAGAGGCCCTGCTAAATGGTACAATGACATCACAGATGCTCCACTGGATGATATGATGACATCACAGAGACCCTGTTGGATGATACAATGACATCACAGAGGTCCTGATGGATGATACGATGACATCACAGATGCTCTGCTGGATGATATGATGCCATCGCAGAGGTCCTGATGAATGATACGATGACATCACAGAGGCTATGCTGGATGATACGATGACATCGCAGAATGCGTTTCCTCTATAGGACTTTGTGACTCACCCAGCATTTGACCTGGATCAAAAACCTTCATTTTCACAAACCTCCATGACCCGTTCCCTTGTCCTTCCCCTTCCACTAAAATGGCATAGCCAGGATCCACCTTCTCTAGGGACTTTGGGAGACAGAGACTGGGGAAATCCGCTGAAGCATGGGGATGGGTTTGGGGTTGATGCCCTCACTCCGAGAGTCACTGATTGTGTGGGTTCAGCCCAGATAAGGGGAGCTTGAGTTGCTGCAAGATTGAGCCCTTTCCTTGAAGTCACGTAGTGTGTTTTTAGAGGTTTTTAAAAAAATCATTTGTGTGTGTTTGTGCCTGTGTCACATGTGTTCAGGTGTCCTCAGAGGCCAGGAGGGTGTCAGATCTGTTAAAGCTGAAGTCACAGATGGTCATAAGCTGCTGGGGACTGAACTTGAGTCCTCTGAAAGAGCAACAAGGGCTCTGAACTATCTCTCCTGCCCAGAAGAGAAAGAGAAAGCAGACTGGGGACACCACAACCCTGCTTAGTAAATTCCTCACCATGGTGAGGAACTAAGCCCGGTTCTCGGCGCACACACAGCACAGACAGGTTCAAGTCGCTCCTGCTCTTCTCGGACGGTTTCTGTTTATAACGACTGCAGCAACCACCCCCTTAGGCCTACATAAGGTACTTGCAATAGGCTTCTTGACTTTAAGGGATGTCTGTGGAGTCCCCCCTGTGGTGGCTGAGCTGATGAGGACAGCCCAGCCACAATGCTCATCCCACCTTGTCTGCCTCCTGGTTCAGTCATGATTCTGATTTTACTTCCCTACTGGGGAATCACCTGTGAGCAGCATCTCTGAATTCCTTGCCATCTCTGAGAACTGGGATTACAGGTACGCACTGCAAAGCCTGGTTCGCCCCCGTTACACACAGTGCCGTGTGGACGTGTGAATGTCTTCCTCTGTGAGCGCGTGTGGATATCTTCCTCTGTGAGCACATGTAGATGTCTTCCTCTGTGCACATGTGTGGATGTCTTCCTCTGTGCGCACGTATGGATGTCTTCCTCTGTGCACACGTGTGGATGTCTTCCTCTGTGCACACGTGTGGATGGATGTCTTCCTCTGTGAGTGCACTTGTGGATGTCTTCCTCTGTGAGCACGTGTGAATGTCTTCCTCTGTGCACACGTGTGGATGTCTTCCTCTGTGCACACGTGTGGATGGATGTCTTCCTCTGTGAGCACGTGTGAATGTCTTCCTCTGTGAGCACGTGTGGATGTCTTCCTCTGTGCACACGTGTGGATGTCTTCCTCTGTGCACACGTGTGGATGTCTTCCTCTGTGCACACGTGTGGATGTCTTCCTCTGTGCACATGTGTGGATGTCTTCTGTGTGCATGTGTGGATGTCTTCCTCAATGACTTGCCACCTCATCTTCTGAAGACAGGTTCTCTCATTGTGCTAAACTAGCTGGCCGCTGACCCCTTGGGATCCTCCTGTTTCTATCAATCACGTTTATGTTGGGGGGTTACAGTTACTATAGTCACACACTACCACTCCAAGCCCAACCCACTTTTGCTTTTTTTTTTAAATTATAAAAAACCTACACTCTCACAAGCAATTTTTAAAAAAATTTTGGGTTGGAGAATTGGCTTAGTGGTTAAGAGTACCTGTTACTCTTGCAGAGTAATTCCCAGCACCCACATGGGACTCAGAACCGTCTGTAATTCCAGTTCCTGATGACCTGACACCCTCTTCTAGCCTCCAATATGGCTGCCATCAGCTCCTCTGTGAGAGCAGTTCTTGCTCTCAACTGCTGACTTCTTTCCAGGACCCTGCCCGCCCGTATTTGAGGCAGCCTCCACCACCTTGAACCCGATTATACTGCTTCCACTGCCCAAGTTTTGGATTAGAGGCACACTCTGCCACACTTGGCTTCCACTTTCTGTCTTTTAAATGACTTCAAAAAGCCCTGCTGTCATCTTGGGGTCCTTTTTTTTTTTAAAGAATTTATTTTATTTTATATGTATGTATGTCTGTGTGAGGGTGCCAGATCCCCTGGATAGAATTACAGACAGTTGTGAATTGCCATGTGGGTGCTGGGAATTGAACCCAGGTCCTCTGCAAGAGTAACAAGTACTCTTAACCACTGAGCTGTCTCTCCAGCCCCATCTTGGGTTCCTTTAAATCATAGGAATAAATTAGGGGGGTAGCTGCAGTGGAAAAGTCCTGATGCATGTTGTCTTAGTTAGGGTTTCTATTGCTGTGAAGAGACACCATGGCCACAGCAACTCTTATAAAGGAAAACATTTAATGGGGCGGCTTAGTTTCAGAGGTTCAGTCTATTATCACCGTGGCAGGACATGGCAGTGTGCAGGCAGGCATAGTACTGGAGAAGGCACTGAGAGTCCTACATCTTGATCCTCAGGAAATAGAAAGTGAACTAAGACGCTGGGCATGACTTGAGTATATATGAGACCTCAAAGCCCACTCCCCGCAGTGGCACACTTCCTCCAACAAGGCCACACTTCCTAATGATGTCCCTTCTTTCCAAATCACCATATGTTGTTTAGTTAAAAACATTAACTTTCTCTGGCGTCCAGGCTGGAGGTTCCCAGGAGAGGGGGCTCTGTAAATAAATACAAGGCCAGCTGTAGTAATCTTAAGGCTCCTGACCTGGGTCCAACCCAGGCAGCTTCACAGCCAGCCTCACATTCTGGAGGAAGACTGGACGTGTCGGCTCACCACACCCTGCTATATAAGGTCATGCTCTGAAGCTCCAGAACACATTCAGTCTCCAGGACACTTGAACTAGAAACACAGACTGGTGGTCCACTGTGGGACCTCACAAGCAGCCCATGGGTTTGGTAGTTGCTAGGAACAACCAGCATCCAGGTGAGCAGAGAGCCTGAGCCTTCTCTGTCTGGGAATTCCAGGAAGAAGGGTGGCCAAGGCACTCTTTGCAGAATGACTGCTGGCATCTGGGAGGCCTGGGCAGGAGGTCAAGTGCATGAGCTTGCCCTGCCAGGGCCAAGTGGTCTGGCAGAGTGCAGGACACTCCTGTTCTGCATGCCAGGTCTCTTCTCAAAAGCTTCCTCGATGGGTTAAGCAGAGGCATCTGAGTGGAGCAAGTCTGTCACCTCTTTGTTCCCTGTCTCTCTAAGTGTCTCTGTCTTTCTCTGTCTCTCATGAGTGTATGTGTGTGTATGTGTGTGTGTGCGCACACACATGCACACTGTTTCTTAGGCACTGCCCACCTTCTTCTTCTTCTTCTTCTTCTTCTTCTTCTTCTTCTTCTTCTTCTTCTTCTTCTTCTTCTTCTTCTTCTTCTTCTTCTTCTTCTTCTTCTTCTTCTTCGGGCCGCAACCACATTCTCCATTA